AAGTTGTGAGATTTATGCCTGCATTCTCGAGTATAATTTTAGTTTTTTCCCTTTTTCTTACTCCAGGGTGAATTTGAATTCGTGTGCTCATGTAACTTGAACAAGTTTTTGTTTGGTTGCTTGCACATAAGAGACTCAATACCAATTATGTGCTACAAAAAAGAAAACCTTCTCATTGTCTATTATCACTATGGTGTTCTATGCATAGTTGTTAAATCACAATTCGTATTGTGAATCGGAATCCTAAATTTGAGAATCGTGAATTGTATCGAATCGTGAATCGTAAGGTTCGATACTAATTTTGAACAAAAATAAAAAATAATACTAACATATTTAAAATAAACAAAATATTGAATATTGAACATTATTGCATTCTAAAAATAATCAATTGACATAATCACATCGTCTAAATGGAAAGACGTAAGCCTTTTATTTCATTTTCATCTTTTACTTAACCATTTTTAAATTTAACAATTTGAAAAAGAATTCATTAAAGAGCAATGGTTATTCAAGAATCAAAATAGTGACACCCAGTATAGATTAGGTTACAAACATGAATAGAAAAAGAACAAATAAAAAAATTGATTGGGAGAAAACATACTGGCCAACATTTTGAAACAAAGAATTAGAACCTAACAAATTACCCATGAAAGAATTGAGAGCAAAAATCAACCGATGATGCGAGAGCTTTAGCCGTGACCTTTAACTTTAGACAATGCAAGATGAGCTTTAGACACATGAGAGAGAGAACGAGTAAAGAGGTTGAGTTTTTATTAGGGTGTGGATTCCTCTGTAAACAAAATGGCGTGGTTTTTCTGTTTAGTGGACAAAACGACATCGTTTTGCTAAAAATTTGGGTTTTAAAAAAAAGTGATTGAATCGTGTAATTCGTGAGATGCGAATCGAATCGTATGAATCGTTCAATTCAGGTGCGATTTAACTCTAAAACGATTCTCATATAAGATACGAATCGTTTTGTACTTGTATTGAACCGAATCGTACGAATCGAATTGTGAATCATACGATTTTGATAACTATGGTTCTATGTGTAAAGGAGGGAGGAAAGTATGGATCATCTTTTTTTGCCTTGTTCCTATGTTTACAAATTGTGGAGTAGGTAATTGGGACAATTTGGTATTCCTTGGGTGAGTCCGAAAGATTGTTCTTCAATATTTGAGATTTATTTTGATGGCTTTGGTCAAAGCAACAAAGCTAAGATTTTATGGAAAAATGAACTTTTACCCTTGTTTTGGGTGGTATGGTTGGAAAGAAATGTGCGAATTTTTGAAGAGCGAGAGATTGGTTGGGAAGATTTATGGATAAAATTACTTTAATGGCTTCTGTTTGGGTTACCACGATGAAGGGTTTTGAAGGGATACTTTTCTTTCTTATTAAGGATCATTGGCCTCAAGTGTGTGCCGATAGTTGAGAATTGGGTTTTTGCTATTTTGTCTCTTTTGCTAGGCTTACAGTTCTGCTGTTAATCACTCTCTTATTTTATGTATCTTTTTTGTATGTAACTTTTGTTGGCAGGGTTTTTGCTATTTGTCTCCTTCATGTTCACCACTTAATATGCTTTCTTTAGAAGGTAATATTGTTTTTGTTGTATATTGATTTATATGTGTTTTTTCCTGGTTCGTGTTTGCTCCCAGATACCCTGCCAACATTACTCTACTTCGTGGAAATCATGAAAGTAGACAGCTAACACAGGTAATTTATACTGTGACATCTTTGGACTATATTTTCACATTGCTGATAAGCTGATGTGCGTTGGATGGTCAGTAACTGTTATTTTGAAAAAGCACAAGTGCAAAATTGTGATATTTCTTTACACCCATTAGAGGCAGGGATCTGTCTTTCAAAACATCTCAATGTGCTGGGACTAATGGGCAGCATACTTTGGAGTCCTATTGTGTAGATATCTATCTATTACACCTATGGTTATGGTATGATATTGTCCTCATTCTGTCTCCCTGAAAGGATATTCAGAAGTTTCTTAAGCTGGAGACCTAGGAACTGGAGACACTGCTTTGATGGTCCATAATGTCTACCTTGTGTGTTATTTAGGTTTAATTAATATTGCTAAATTAACATGCTGCTGTTGGATGAGTCAAATAATTAAGCATGCCCAGGATAGAGGTACTTTTTGACACTACTTTGCTACTTAATCTATAATCCTTACCTTGCTGTGTTATTTGGATTTTATTACCTTTGCTAAAACTAACATGCTGCTGTATGACATCCATAAAATTCCTCAGTTTTGGATGGGTTCAAAATTTAGGCATTCGTAGGATAGAAAAAATATCTGCAGTTTCACTTACCAATTGGACCATATCTGTTCTGTATGTTTTTTGATGGATCAAGGATGCTGTCAGTTCCAGTCAGAACTGGAGTACTGTTACCAAGTCATACATGATGGTTGATTGTTTTTAAGGAATCAACAGTACATTCCATGTTGAGTTGAATAGCATTATTTGAATTAGTGAATGTTTGTTGGGTCATACTAGGAACAGATGATGATCTAGGCCATTGCTGCATTGGAAGTTGAAGGTTGCCACCCTTTGAACGATAGATTTTTCATGAAGATGTAGGTAGCCCTCCAAAGGCATAGAGATACAGTCATACAGCTTACTGCACATGGGCTTGACTCTCGACTAAAGGTATTATGAAGAAAAGGATTAAAAGTTTCAGGTGGGCATCCAAGAAACTTTTTTCTGTGGCCCACCGGTGTTGAGGATATACCGATTTTCTTTAAAAAAAAAAAAAATGGTTCGTAGGCACAATTATGCTTCAGAATACTTGGATGTGATTGAAAATACGTGGATATTAGTCCTCATTAATGCTTTACCATACCAATTGCATTGCCGTCTTTTTAAATTTGCAGAGCTACCTTGGCACAAATTGAGAAATGGTCCAAATTGTTTACTTGCCGAGAAAAAATGTCATTTGCAATCTGTTGGTGCTTGTTATCGCAGGCTAAAAGCAGACCCTATCTAATTACTGTGGGTGTCTTATTGTATGAGATATTGTTGCACTACAATTGAAATCGCTAAGAATTACGGATACTCTATTAAGGTCGACGTATCGGTATTGGATATCGTATTGGATATGATAGTTATTGGATACTCGGTTACATATTAGATATGCACCAGACATNAAACAGAGTTCCAGAAAATTAGAAGAAGAAAGGGGAAGAAGTAGAAAGAGGAGAAGAATCATAAAATCAGAAAATTAGAAGAAGAAGAAGAAGTATGGGAAGAAAACATATCGTCACTATGAGTATTTCAGTCTGATTCTAGAGGAGTCTAATGCAGTGAGCTTCCTTGTCATCGGTGAGTGTCACGAGAAGGGAAAGAATCAAAAGATCAGAAGAAGACAAAAAATCAAAAAATTTTGTCAAACGATTGCTTGTTTGTCTAGGTTCGCTTTTTTCTCGTTTCTCTTGATGTCTCTTTGCTAGGACTGTTCTAGGCGACCTGAGAATGCCTTGTCTCGCCTAGGCGAGCGTTTAGACGCACTTTTCAAAACACTGATGCCATCAAATTGGGAATTTATGTGTGGTCATTTTATTTGATAAAAAATGGTTCTCATCAAGGTTGTAGTATCGTATGATACGTGATACATGTCATAAGAGATATTCCAATACATAAGGTATATGATACAACTCACTGAGTTAAACCATATGAAATACGATGCTCATTGGATACTCGATATGTATTCCAATAATTCTTTTTATTTTTGGCTATGTCTTGGCCTCTTGGATATGAGTATCCAAGATGAATATGGTTTGTATATGGTAATGAAAGTGGATATGCAGAATCATGTGTATATTGTTTAGTTTTAATTCTATAGAGTATGGATGACATGCAAGATTTTCTGAAGTATTATATATTGACGCATGTCAAAATAACATAAAGTGGATTAGATATGCCCTATCTCTTGGCAATAAGTACTTCTAAGCAAACCAATTGGTTAAATGTTGGCTTTGGTTTCCTTAACTAGTCACACTAAATTTGTGGATAATCAAATTATCAATTTTATTAAAAATATAAAATATATTGGGTAAATTACATTGACACCCCCTGACATTTAGTTTTATTATATGAACACCCCTTCACATTTCAAAAATTACACTAAGACCCCAAATTTCGTCAAATAATGGATGTCGTTAGCAAAAGTAAAAAAATGACAATCATACCTTCGGTTCTGAGGTAAAAAAAACTCAAGTGTACTAAATTACAAATCAGACCTTAATTAAACGAATTTAACACTTAATTCAAATTAAACTTAACAGTTAACACTTAAACAAATTTAACACCTAATTAAAATTAAACATTATAATTTTATCACCAATTCAATCTTATCGATTAAACTAATAACGTTAATTTATTTTGAATTAACAACAACCTTTATCAAATTTCAATGATTATACCAAATTTACCTTGCTAAAATTATGTCTTAACACCACAACCACCACCAGTTTCCATCGGCATCTACCGCCCACAACGACCAACCCTTGTTACCTTACCACCACTCCCATCACACCAGTTTCACCATCCCAACTCCTAAGACTCCTACCCCAGTAGCTCCCACCATCACAGCCACCATTGCCAAATTTCAAACCGAATTTACCTCCTCCAAGGCACAGCCAACACATAGCAAAACAGGCAACCCAACTCAGCTGCCCACCCCTTTCAGTCATCGGCATCACACAAGAGGGGTGAGACAACTTAATTTTTCAGACCTAAGATCAAGTTCAGAAGTGTTTGATTTTCCATAGAGTCTAATTTTTCAATTTTTGAGATCTTTTTATTGATTTGGGTTCTTTAGATTTTTCAGATTTGAGTTCTCCAATGGTCCTAGAGAGAGAGAGAGAAAGAGAGAGATTTTGAAATTTTCATATCTAAGTTCCAGCCACCACTTTCTACCACCAAACCTCCGTTACCCACACCCTTTTCACAATTTATTGGCAAGGTCACCGACCTCAGGTGGAGGGTGCAATGGGGTGGGGGGTGACGGAGGAGCAACGACGTACGGGAGTTTGTGGGGTTGGTGGTTGGGTGCAATGGAATGGTCTCTGTGCTGGAAGAGAGGGGAACAGATGGCTAGGGTTGGGTTTGATTTGTGTGGGGTAGTGAAGGGGATGGAGGAAGAAGATGATTAGAGTTAGGATTGAGGCTGGGGTTTTTGAGTGGTTTGGAGGTTTTGATTTTTTTTTTAATTTATTTATTTTGACTTAGTCAAATAGAGTGGTGAGTTTAATAGATTGGATATGGGCATTGGTTAATCTCAATGATATACAAGGGTAAAAAAGTCTTTTTAAGAAAATTGTTAACGTCGGTTAAACAAAAGGGGTGCGGCTATCACACGTGTTCAAATGTCAAGGGGTTTCAGTGTAATATTTAAAATGTGAGGGGGTGTCCGCATAATAAAGCCAAATGTCAGAGGGTGTGAATGTAATTTACCTAAATATATTTTGTTGTAGGCGTATTCCGGTCGTATCTGTATCCTATTTTGTTAGGTTTTACCGCCTTTTTCTTTTGGGAAGTATGTTTCATTTTGTTCTTTTTATTTCTCTACTTTTACAGAAATTCTTGTTTCTTGTTAAAGTAACGAGGTTTGCCTTTGTATTTTAATTTTCTCCCCATGTGGTTGCTATAACGGCTTTATTGAGCAGCGTTGAGTATCTTTCAAAGAAACCCCATAAAATTTGTATGAACTAATATTACACGTTGCATATATACTTTACTTGTCAGGTAAAAGAGATCTTGATTGAGGAATCAAATGTGCAGCCTGTCAATAGTCCTGTTACAGTGTGTGGTGACATCCATGGCCAATTCCATGACCTGATGAAACTGTTCCAGACTGGAGGTCATGTTCCAGAGACAAATTATATTTTTATGGTATACTTCTTGTATTGTCTGTTTTCATTTTCGCAGTGCTTAATCTTGCTGCTTTGTTTTAGTTGTTACTTGGTGGTTGCATTGTAAAATTTCCTATTTCCTTGGCAGGGAGATTTTGTTGATCGTGGGTACAATAGTCTAGAAGTTTTCACGATTCTTTTGCTGCTCAAAGCGAGGTATAGACCTGGTTTTTGGGTGTGCCTCCTTGCTATGGAATTAATTGCCATGAGACCTTAAAGATTCTGCTAAAAACCTCAGGTTCATCCAATTAATAGTCATTTTGGATTAAGGGGTTTGAAATGTGTGTCAACATCATTATAGACTGGATTCCAATGAGACCTTACTTCAGTTTGAGATTGTAAGAAAAATTACTTGGAGTTCAATGGTACTAGAGATGGGAGCCTTGACCCTGTTTCCATTCAAAAGGTGAAAGAGAAGGTCAGCCGGGCTGAAGAGTAACAGCTAAGATAAAAAAAAAATTAGCATCATATTGCCTCTAACACTCCTACTGCATTAACGAATAGTTTGGGCTTGAAATTTTGTTGCTAAATTAAAGCTGGATGTCCCTCTTATATTATCTGTTCATGGAAATGAAAAATTACTAGTTCAAATCACTATTAATGGTGATAGTTTTGATCCGTTATTGTTGAAGTGGATGTCCAAGTTGTGAGATTTATGCCTGCATTCTCGAGTATAATTTTAGTTTTTTCCCTTTTTCTTACTCCAGGGTGAATTTGAATTCGTGTGCTCATGTAACTTGAACAAGTTTTTGTTTGGTTGCTTGCACATAAGAGACTCAATACCAATTATGTGCTACAAAAAAGAAAACCTTCTCATTGTCTATTATCACTATGGTGTTCTATGCATAGTTGTTAAATCACAATTCGTATTGTGAATCGGAATCCTAAATTTGAGAATCGTGAATTGTATCGAATCGTGAATCGTAAGGTTCGATACTAATTTTGAACAAAAATAAAAAATAATACTAACATATTTAAAATAAACAAAATATTGAATATTGAACATTATTGCATTCTAAAAATAATCAATTGACATAATCACATCGTCTAAATGGAAAGACGTAAGCCTTTTATTTCATTTTCATCTTTTACTTAACCATTTTTAAATTTAACAATTTGAAAAAGAATTCATTAAAGAGCAATGGTTATTCAAGAATCAAAATAGTGACACCCAGTATAGATTAGGTTACAAACATGAATAGAAAAAGAACAAATAAAAAAATTGATCGGGAGAAAACATACTGGCCAACATTTTGAAACAAAGAATTAGAACCTAACAAATTACCCATGAAAGAATTGAGAGCAAAAATCAACCGATGATGCGAGAGCTTTAGCCGTGACCTTTAACTTTAGACAATGCAAGATGAGCTTTAGACACATGAGAGAGAGAACGAGTAAAGAGGTTGAGTTTTTATTAGGGTGTGGATTCCTCTGTAAACAAAATGACGTGGTTTTTCTGTTTAGTGGACAAAACGACATCGTTTTGCTAAAAATTTGGGTTTTAAAAAAAAGTGATTGAATCGTGTAATTCGTGAGATGCGAATCGAATCGTATGAATCGTTCAATTCAGGTGCGATTTAACTCTAAAACGATTCTCATATAAGATACGAATCGTTTTGTACTTGTATTGAACCGAATCGTACGAATCGAATTGTGAATCATACGATTTTGATAACTATGGTTCTATGTGTAAAGGAGGGAGGAAAGTATGGATCATCTTTTTTTGCCTTGTTCCTACGTTTACAAATTGTGGAGTAGGTAATTGGGACAATTTGGTATTCCTTGGGTGAGTCCGAAAGATTGTTCTTCAATATTTGAGATTTATTTTGATGGCTTTGGTCAAAGCAACAAAGCTAAGATTTTATGGAAAAATGAACTTTTACCCTTGTTTTGGGTGGTATGGTTGGAAAGAAATGTGCGAATTTTTGAAGAGCGAGAGATTGGTTGGGAAGATTTATGGATAAAATTACTTTAATGGCTTCTGTTTGGGTTACCACGATGAAGGGTTTTGAAGGGATACTTTTCTTTCTTATTAAGGATCATTGGCCTCAAGTGTGTGCCGATAGTTGAGAATTGGGTTTTTGCTATTTTGTCTCTTTTGCTAGGCTTACAGTTCTGCTGTTAATCACTCTCTTATTTTATGTATCTTTTTTGTATGTAACTTTTGTTGGCAGGGTTTTTGCTATTTGTCTCCTTCATGTTCACCACTTAATATGCTTTCTTTAGAAGGTAATATTGTTTTTGTTGTATATTGATTTATATGTGTTTTTTCCTGGTTCGTGTTTGCTCCCAGATACCCTGCCAACATTACTCTACTTCGTGGAAATCATGAAAGTAGACAGCTAACACAGGTAATTTATACTGTGACATCTTTGGACTATATTTTCACATTGCTGATAAGCTGATGTGCGTTGGATGGTCAGTAACTGTTATTTTGAAAAAGCACAAGTGCAAAATTGTGATATTTCTTTACACCCATTAGAGGCAGGGATCTGTCTTTCAAAACATCTCAATGTGCTGGGACTAATGGGCAGCATACTTTGGAGTCCTATTGTGTAGATATCTATCTATTACACCTATGGTTATGGTATGATATTGTCCTCATTCTGTCTCCCTGAAAGGATATTCAGAAGTTTCTTAAGCTGGAGACCTAGGAACTGGAGACACTGCTTTGATGGTCCATAATGTCTACCTTGTGTGTTATTTAGGTTTAATTAATATTGCTAAATTAACATGCTGCTGTTGGATGAGTCAAATAATTAAGCATGCCCAGGATAGAGGTACTTTTTGACACTACTTTGCTACTTAATCTATAATCCTTACCTTGCTGTGTTATTTGGATTTTATTACCTTTGCTAAAACTAACATGCTGCTGTATGACATCCATAAAATTCCTCAGTTTTGGATGGGTTCAAAATTTAGGCATTCGTAGGATAGAAAAAATATCTGCAGTTTCACTTACCAATTGGACCATATCTGTTCTGTATGTTTTTTGATGGATCAAGGATGCTGTCAGTTCCAGTCAGAACTGGAGTACTGTTACCAAGTCATACATGATGGTTGATTGTTTTTAAGGAATCAACAGTACATTCCATGTTGAGTTGAATAGCATTATTTGAATTAGTGAATGTTTGTTGGGTCATACTAGGAACAGATGATGATCTAGGCCATTGCTGCATTGGAAGTTGAAGGTTGCCACCCTTTGAACGATAGATTTTTCATGAAGATGTAGGTAGCCCTCCAAAGGCATAGAGATACAGTCATACAGCTTACTGCACATGGGCTTGACTCTCGACTAAAGGTATTATGAAGAAAAGGATTAAAAGTTTCAGGTGGGCATCCAAGAAACTTTTTTCTGTGGCCCACCGGTGTTGAGGATATACCGATTTTCTTTAAAAAAAAAAAAAATGGTTCGTAGGCACAATTATGCTTCAGAATACTTGGATGTGATTGAAAATACGTGGATATTAGTCCTCATTAATGCTTTACCATACCAATTGCATTGCCGTCTTTTTAAATTTGCAGAGCTACCTTGGCACAAATTGAGAAATGGTCCAAATTGTTTACTTGCCGAGAAAAAATGTCATTTGCAATCTGTTGGTGCTTGTTATCGCAGGCTAAAAGCAGACCCTATCTAATTACTGTGGGTGTCTTATTGTGTGAGATATTGTTGCACTACAATTGAAATCGCTAAGAATTACGGATACTCTATTAAGGTCGACGTATCGGTATTGGATATCGTATTGGATATGATAGTTATTGGATACTCGGTTACATATTAGATATGCACCAGACATTTATAGTAACTAGTTGGTGCACAGGTGCGTTTCACGTGGCCTAGGTTGAAGTATATTTTTTATTTGAATGTTTTAAAGATTTATACTCTTCAAGTATGAGTCCTGTTTCAACTTGATTCTTGAAATNACATTTATAGTAACTAGTTGGTGCACAGGTGCGTTTCACGTGGCCTAGGTTGAAGTATAATTTTTATTTGAATGTTTTAAAGATTTATACTCTTCAAGTATGAGTCCTGTTTCAACTTGATTCTTGAAATTTCAATTGGAACAATCAAATCCTTCATGTTTTAATTGATTTTAATACCATGACAATGTTTTCCAATTTTTTATTTTTGGTATTTCAAATTTAAAATGAAAATTTTGTTATTAAATTGGACTGCTTGTAATTTGTGTAATTGGGGTGGCTGTTATGGATTGAGGGTGGGATGGATTTATAATTGGCACATAGGCCCTTTGCAATTTATTAAACATTTGGATTTTATGACTTTTTGTGTCCCTTCATTTGCACTAAGCTCTTTTTAACTTCCATAACTTTGATTTGTAATGGCATACTATTTATCATGAAATATGCACCATTGATGTAGTAAATTGTCATTGTTTAAATCAAATAAGATAAGACAATAGGGTATGAGTGGGTATAAGAATCTAAGTAGGGATAATATAGGAAATTGAAATTTTTTCATGTTAAGATACTTTTATTAGTAATATAGATAAATATAATATCTCATGGATATGTATGTATCCAAAATGATTATGCTTCAAATATTGAAGTGAATTCATGGATCAATTTATAGATTTTTTTTTTGCGTTATCCTCTTCTATTCATATCTAATGNCAAATTTCGTCAAATAATGGATGTCGTTAGCAAAAGTAAAAAAATGACAATCATACCTTCGGNCAAATTTCGTCAAATAATGGATGTCGTTAGCAAAAGTAAAAAAATGACAATCATACCCTCGGTTCTGAGGTAAAAAAAACTCAAGTGTACTAAATTACAAATCAGACCTTAATTAAACGAATTTAACACTTAATTCAAATTAAACTTAACAGTTAACACTTAAACAAATTTAACACCTAATTAAAATTAAACATTATAATTTTATCACCAATTCAATCTTATCGATTAAACTAATAACGTTAATTTATTTTGAATTAACAACAACCTTTATCAAATTTCAATGATTATACCAAATTTACCTTGCTAAAATTATGTCTTAACACCACAACCACCACCAGTTTCCATCGGCATCTACCGCCCACAACGACCAACCCTTGTTACCTTACCACCACTCCCATCACACCAGTTTCACCATCCCAACTCCTAAGACTCCTACCCCAGTAGCTCCCACCATCACAGCCACCATTGCCAAATTTCAAACCGAACTTACCTCCTCCAAGGCACAGCCAACACATAGCAAAACAGGCAACCCAACTCAGCTGCCCACCCCTTTCNAATTTCAATGATTATACCAAATTTACCTTGCTAAAATTATGTCTTAACACCACAACCACCACCAGTTTCCATCGGCATCTACCGCCCACAACGACCAACCCTTGTTACCTTACCACCACTCCCATCACACCAGTTTCACCATCCCAACTCCTAAGACTCCTACCCCAGTAGCTCCCACCATCACAGCCACCATTGCCAAATTTCAAACCGAATTTACCTCCTCCAAGGCACAGCCAACACATAGCAAAACAGGCAACCCAACTCAGCTGCCCACCCCTTTTAGTCATCGGCATCACACAAGAGGGGTGAGACAACTTAATTTTTCAGACCTAAGATCAAGTTCAGAAGTGTTTGATTTTCCATAGAGTCTAATTTTTCAATTTTTGAGATCTTTTTATTGATTTGGGTTCTTTAGATTTTTCAGATTTGAGTTCTCCAATGGTCCTAGAGAGAGAGAGAGAAAGAGAGAGATTTTGAAATTTTCATATCTAAGTTCCAGCCACCACTTTCTACCACCAAACCTCCGTTACCCACACCCTTTTCACAATTTATTGGCAAGGTCACCGACCTCAGGTGGAGGGTGCAATGGGGTGGGGGGTGACGGAGGAGCAACGACGTACGGGAGTTTGTGGGGTTGGTGGTTGGGTGCAATGGAATGGTCTCTGTGCTGGAAGAGAGGGGAACAGATGGCTAGGGTTGGGTTTGATTTGTGTGGGGTAGTGAACGGGATGGAGGAAGAAGATGATTAGAGTTAGGATTGAGGCTGGGGTTTTTGAGTGGTTTGGAGGTTTTGATTTTTTTTTTAATTTATTTATTTTGACTTAGTCAAATAGAGTGGTGAGTTTAATAGATTGGATATGGGCATTGGTTAATCTCAATGATATACAAGGGTAAAAAAGTCTTTTTAAGAAAATTGTTAACGTCGGTTAAACAAAAGGGGTGCGGCTATCACACGTGTTCAAATGTCAAGGGGTTTCAGTGTAATATTTAAAATGTGAGGGGGTGTCCGCATAATAAAGCCAAATGTCAGAGGGTGTGAATGTAATTTACCTAAATATATTTTGTTGTAGGCGTATTCCGGTCGTATCTGTATCCTATTTTGTTAGGTTTTACCGCCTTTTTCTTTTGGGAAGTATGTTTCATTTTGTTCTTTTTATTTCTCTACTTTGACAGAAATTCTTGTTTCTTGTTAAAGTAACGAGGTTTGCCTTTGTATTTTAATTTTCTCCCCATGTGGTTGCTATAAGNCGGGATGGAGGAAGAAGATGATTAGAGTTAGGATTGAGGCTGGGGTTTTTGAGTGGTTTGGAGGTTTTGATTTTTTTTTTAATTTATTTATTTTGACTTAGTCAAATAGAGTGGTGAGTTTAATAGATTGGATATGGGCATTGGTTAATCTCAATGATATACAAGGGTAAAAAAGTCTTTTTAAGAAAATTGTTAACGTCGGTTAAACAAAAGGGGTGCGGCTATCACACGTGTTCAAATGTCAAGGGGTTTCAGTGTAATATTTAAAATGTGAGGGGGTGTCCGCATAATAAAGCCAAATGTCAGAGGGTGTGAATGTAATTTACCTAAATATATTTTGTTGTAGGCGTATTCCGGTCGTATCTGTATCCTATTTTGTTAGGTTTTACCGCCTTTTTCTTTTGGGAAGTATGTTTCATTTTGTTCTTTTTATTTCTCTACTTTTACAGAAATTCTTGTTTCTTGTTAAAGTAACGAGGTTTGCCTTTGTATTTTAATTTTCTCCCCATGTGGTTGCTATAACGGCTTTATTGAGCAGCGTTGAGTATCTTTCAAAGAAACCCCATAAAATTTGTATGAACTAATATTACACGTTGCATATATACTTTACTTGTCAGGTAAAAGAGATCTTGATTGAGGAATCAAATGTGCAGCCTGTCAATAGTCCTGTTACAGTGTGTGGTGACATCCATGGCCAATTCCATGACCTGATGAAACTGTTCCAGACTGGAGGTCATGTTCCAGAGACAAATTATATTTTTATGGTATACTTCTTGTATTGTCTGTTTTCATTTTCGCAGTGCTTAATCTTGCTGCTTTGTTTTAGTTGTTACTTGGTGGTTGCATTGTAAAATTTCCTATTTCCTTGGCAGGGAGATTTTGTTGATCGTGGGTACAATAGTCTAGAAGTTTTCACGATTCTTTTGCTGCTCAAAGCGAGGTATAGACCTGGTTTTTGGGTGTGCCTCCTTGCTATGGAATTAATTGCCATGAGACCTTAAAGATTCTGCTAAAAACCTCAGGTTCATCCAATTAATAGTCATTTTGGATTAAGGGGTTTGAAATGTGTGTCAACATCATTATAGACTGGATTCCAATGAGACCTTACTTCAGTTTGAGATTGTAAGAAAAATTACTTGGAGTTCAATGGTACTAGAGATGGGAGCCTTGACCCTGTTTCCATTCAAAAGGTGAAAGAGAAGGTCAGCCGGGCTGAAGAGTAACAGCTAAGATAAAAAAAAAATTAGCATCATATTGCCTCTAACACTCCTACTGCATTAACGAATAGTTTGGGCTTGAAATTTTGTTGCTAAATTAAAGCTGGATGTCCCTCTTATATTATCTGTTCATGGAAATGAAAAATTACTAGTTCAAATCACTATTAATGGTGATAGTTTTGATCCGTTATTGTTGAAGTGGATGTCCAAGTTGTGAGATTTATGCCTGCATTCTCGAGTATAATTTTAGTTTTTTCCCTTTTTCTTACTCCAGGGTGAATTTGAATTCGTGTGCTCATGTAACTTGAACAAGTTTTTGTTTGGTTGCTTGCACATAAGAGACTCAATACCAATTATGTGCTACAAAAAAGAAAACCTTCTCATTGTCTATTATCACTATGGTGTTCTATGCATAGTTGTTAAATCACAATTCGTATTGTGAATCGGAATCCTAAATTTGAGAATCGTGAATTGTATCGAATCGTGAATCGTAAGGTTCGATACTAATTTTGAACAAAAATAAAAAATAATACTAACATATTTAAAATAAACAAAATATTGAATATTGAACATTATTGCATTCTAAAAATAATCAATTGACATAATCACATCGTCTAAATGGAAAGACGTAAGCCTTTTATTTCATTTTCATCTTTTACTTAACCATTTTTAAATTTAACAATTTGAAAAAGAATTCATTAAAGAGCAATGGTTATTCAAGAATCAAAATAGTGACACCCAGTATAGATTAGGTTACAAACATGAATAGAAAAAGAACAAATAAAAAAATTGATTGGGAGAAAACATACTGGCCAACATTTTGAAACAAAGAATTAGAACCTAACAAATTATCCATGAAAGAATTGAGAGCAAAAATCAACCGATGATGCGAGAGCTTTAGCCGTGACCTTTAACTTTAGACAATGCAAGATGAACTTTAGACACATGAGAGAGAGAACGAGTAAAGAGGTTGAGTTTTTATTAGGGTGTGGATTCCTCTGTAAACAAAATGGCGTGGTTTTTCTGTTTAGTGGACAAAACGACATCGTTTTGCTAAAAATTTGGGTTTTAAAAAAAAGTGATTGAATCGTGTAATTCGTGAGATGCGAATCGAATCGTATGAATCGTTCAATTCAGGTGCGATTTAACTCTAAAACGATTCTCATATAAGATACGAATCGTTTTGTACTTGTATTGAACCGAATCGTACGAATCGAATTGTGAATCATACGATTTTGATAACTATGGTTCTATGTGTAAAGGAGGGAGGAAAGTATGGATCATCTTTTTTTGCCTTGTTCCTACGTTTACAAATTGTGGAGTAGGTAATTGGGACAATTTGGTATTCCTTGGGTGAGTCCGAAAGATTGTTCTTCAATATTTGAGATTTATTTTGATGGCTTTGGTCAAAGCAACAAAGCTAAGATTTTATGGAAAAATGAACTTTTACCCTTGTTTTGGGTGGTATGGTTGGAAAGAAATGTGCGAATTTTTGAAGAGCGAGAGATTGGTTGGGAAGATTTATGGATAAAATTACTTTAATGGCTTCTGTTTGGGTTACCACGATGAAGGGTTTTGAAGGGATACTTTTCTTTCTTATTAAGGATCATTGGCCTCAAGTGTGTGCCGATAGTNGGCCAACATTTTGAAACAAAGAATTAGAACCTAACAAATTACCCATGAAAGAATTGAGAGCAAAAATCAACCGATGATGCGAGAGCTTTAGCCGTGACCTTTAACTTTAGACAATGCAAGATGAGCTTTAGACACATGAGAGAGAGAACGAGTAAAGAGGTTGAGTTTTTATTAGGGTGTGGATTCCTCTGTAAACAAAATGGCGTGGTTTTTCTGTTTAGTGGACAAAACGACATCGTTTTGCTAAAAATTTGGGTTTTAAAAAAAAGTGATTGAATCGTGTAATTCGTGAGATGCGAATCGAATCGTATGAATCGTTCAATTCAGGTGCGATTTAACTCTAAAACGATTCTCATATAAGATACGAATCGTTTTGTACTTGTATTGAACCGAATCGTACGAATCGAATTGTGAATCATACGATTTTGATAACTATGGTTCTATGTGTAAAGGAGGGAGGAAAGTATGGATCATCTTTTTTTGCCTTGTTCCTATGTTTACAAATTGTGGAGTAGGTAATTGGGACAATTTGGTATTCCTTGGGTGAGTCCGAAAGATTGTTCTTCAATATTTGAGATTTATTTTGATGGCTTTGGTCAAAGCAACAAAGCTAAGATTTTATGGAAAAATGAACTTTTACCCTTGTTTTGGGTGGTATGGTTGGAAAGAAATGTGCGAATTTTTGAAGAGCGAGAGATTGGTTGGGAAGATTTATGGATAAAATTACTTTAATGGCTTCTGTTTGGGTTACCACGATGAAGGGTTTTGAAGGGATACTTTTCTTTCTTATTAAGGATCATTGGCCTCAAGTGTGTGCCGATAGTTGAGAATTGGGTTTTTGCTATTTTGTCTCTTTTGCTAGGCTTACAGTTCTGCTGTTAATCACTCTCTTATTTTATGTATCTTTTTTGTATGTAACTTTTGTTGGCAGGGTTTTTGCTATTTGTCTCCTTCATGTTCACCACTTAATATGCTTTCTTTAGAAGGTAATATTGTTTTTGTTGTATATTGATTTATATGTGTTTTTTCCTGGTTCGTGTTTGCTCCCAGATACCCTGCCAACATTACTCTACTTCGTGGAAATCATGAAAGTAGACAGCTAACACAGGTAATTTATACTGTGACATCTTTGGACTATATTTTCACATTGCTGATAAGCTGATGTGCGTTGGATGGTCAGTAACTGTTATTTTGAAAAAGCACAAGTGCAAAATTGTGATATTTCTTTACACCCATTAGAGGCAGGGATCTGTCTTTCAAAACATCTCAATGTGCTGGGACTAATGGGCAGCATACTTTGGAGTCCTATTGTGTAGATATCTATCTATTACACCTATGGTTATGGTATGATATTGTCCTCATTCTGTCTCCCTGAAAGGATATTCAGAAGTTTCTTAAGCTGGAGACCTAGGAACTGGAGACACTGCTTTGATGGTCCATAATGTCTACCTTGTGTGTTATTTAGGTTTAATTAATATTGCTAAATTAACATGCTGCTGTTGGATGAGTCAAATAATTAAGCATGCCCAGGATAGAGGTACTTTTTGACACTACTTTGCTACTTAATCTATAATCCTTACCTTGCTGTGTTATTTGGATTTTATTACCTTTGCTAAAACTAACATGCTGCTGTATGACATCCATAAAATTCCTCAGTTTTGGATGGGTTCAAAATTTAGGCATTCGTAGGATAGAAAAAATATCTGCAGTTTCACTTACCAATTGGACCATATCTGTTCTGTATGTTTTTTGATGGATCAAGGATGCTGTCAGTTCCAGTCAGAACTGGAGTACTGTTACCAAGTCATACATGATGGTTGATTGTTTTTAAGGAATCAACAGTACATTCCATGTTGAGTTGAATAGCATTATTTGAATTAGTGAATGTTTGTTGGGTCATACTAGGAACAGATGATGATCTAGGCCATTGCTGCATTGGAAGTTGAAGGTTGCCACCCTTTGAACGATAGATTTTTCATGAAGATGTAGGTAGCCCTCCAAAGGCATAGAGATACAGTCATACAGCTTACTGCACATGGGCTTGACTCTCGACTAAAGGTATTATGAAGAAAAGGATTAAAAGTTTCAGGTGGGCATCCAAGAAACTTTTTTCTGTGGCCCACCGGTGTTGAGGATATACCGATTTTCTTTAAAAAAAAAAAAAAAAATGGTTCGTAGGCACAATTATGCTTCAGAATACTTGGATGTGATTGAAAATACGTGGATATTAGTCCTCATTAATGCTTTACCATACCAATTGCATTGCCGTCTTTTTAAATTTGCAGAGCTACCTTGGCACAAATTGAGAAATGGTCCAAATTGTTTACTTGCCGAGAAAAAATATGTCATTTGCAATCTGTTGGTGCTTGTTATCGCAGGCTAAAAGCAGACCCTATCTAATTACTGTGGGCGTCTTATTGTGNTGGGTTTGCAATCCAGATCACCAAAATATACGATCCAAAATTGTACATATAGCACAAATATAAATACATATTAACGAAGTGTATATAGATTTATAATTATATAATATTTTAGATAATAAAAAATCGAGCAGAAATGTAAGTTAAATGGTAACTGACTTGGTGTTTATGGATGTTCTATGATATATAATGTTGTATAGTGGTGAAAACGATCTAAATAAAACTTCCAAAACAAATTTTGACCCAAAATACTGTACTAGTTAAGCCTACTCCCATCGTACCGTGGATCAAAGAAAGTATCGTACTGCGTACTTGTACCCGTGTCGTATACCAAAATGACCCACGATCTAGGTAATATTGGATAACACCATCTCAAGTCCTTTCGCACCCTTGTGCCCCATGGTCTCTTATCAAGAATAGTGGAGTCCCTTCAAATTCTTTTGAAGTAGATGCTCATGGAGATGCCAAAAAAAGAGATCTTTTGTCACATTTCATCCAAGAAGCCACGCCTTCATTAAAGGTTCTTCCATTTCTCTCCAACCATACCACCCAAAACAATGCCATTATCGCACTTTTCCAAAAGATTTTAGCTCTAGTGGTAGAACTAAAACTATCAAATTTCATAATGAACAATTCTCCACAACTTCTCGATTTCATCCAAGGAATCTCAACAATTGACAATAATCCATGCCATATAATTGAAGATATAGGACAATGTAAGAACTAATTTTCCATGCACTCCCGCATATTTAAACATAATGCCCACTAATATGGACGAAGACAAAGCAATGACCTTCTTATTTGAATCACGTCATTGGTGTTGAGTTTCTTATGCACAAGGAACCATGCAAATACTTTCAAATTATTTTTGAGGACTCAAATTGGAAGATTAGAGCTTTCAATTTATGAATCAAAGAAATATTTGCAAGATAAATCCCCAAAGAAGAAAGA